TAGAAGCTAGTAAGAAGAAACTCTTAGAAACAAGAAGCTCCTAGTAACAAGTGCACCGCTACTAGTAACAAGTGCCTTACTGTTAGCAACAAAAAGCTATTAGAAACAAGAAACTAGCCAGTAACAAGAAACTACTTTTTCTTCGCCTTTGTTGTTCTTCGCCTTTTTTCTCCTCGCGCTCGCTCTCCTCGCGTCACCGCCTTGTGCAAGCGCTCTTGGCCGAAGCAAATGCACGTCACCGCCTCGGCACCCGGAGATCCGAAAAGAGAGAAACAAAGGGTGATAAAAACAAGAAAGCACAAATTAAGATGTATTATTGAGACTTATTGATGTAATTTGTGAATACTTTTTTACATTCGCATCCAGTCGAAAGCCTATGGCTTATGGAGTTAAGCAGCAAATGCCAAAAGCTGAATTATGGCTAGGCCGACTAAACCGAAGCCGCCGCTCGCAAACATCTCAACGAGCAAAAGCTAACTGGCAAGGTGCCTTGATGGGTGACCACTTCCGCGTACACAGGCAACCTTGGTTGATGCATTCCGCTCGGGTCCCTGTTGGGACCCCAGTAGGGCAACCTTTCAGGCTGCGCACAATGGACCTTCTTGGCCTTCTGTATGGCCACAGCCCAATCATGAAGCTGTAACAGTGCCCTACCGCGCGGCTCAGCTGACAGCAGCTCGCACCACCGACGCAGGCACCCATGGTCCATCTCATGCTGCATGCCCCACAAAAAGATCGAGCCCAGCAAAATGCCAGTTTCCATGCCCTCCCATTCGTGGTAAAAAGACTGCGCATCCTGTGCAGTGGCAGCAGCCTTCGTGAACTCCTCCCCAATGACAAACAGGATATCCTGATCTGAGCGAAAAGAGACACCAGATTCCTCCAAGTCATCGTTCAGGTCAAGGAAGTCCTTTTCAAGGGTGAGAGCATCGTCCCACTCGGCACCAAAAACCTTGGGGCCATAAAGTGGCACAGCCTCCACCCGTCTCGCTCCTGTCAGGGAAGTGAAGGGATCTGCCGGGAGATCTTCTCGTCCCTCCTCCACGGTCCCAAACTCCCTCAACCAAGCGGCACACACATTGGTTTTGCCTGTTCTCGACACATATCGAAGATGTATGCGAAGACGATTGCGTGTCCAGAAAGGTTGCAAGCAAACTGGACACGTAGCGCCATGGATGTACCCAGCCGTGGATGTCCGCCAGGAATGCATCACCATCTGGTGCATCCTCAACGCTTTCCTTGTTGCAAACCCACGCCCACAGTGACAACGGCATTGAACCTGCATCCATAAGTCCTGCAGGGTATCATCCTCGTCTCCTCGACCTGGTGGACATGGATTAGCCAGCTGTACCACATAGCCATGCTTCTTGACAGCTGTCCTCAGCACATGTTGCCATCCAGGTTTGCCCTGTTGCCATGTCTCCCATAGGGCGCTCAGAGAAGTACCCCAAGTGGAAAGGTCCATCAGGGTTTTAAGCCATCCCAAGTCCTCGGCAAGCTCACCTCTCCAGCTCCGGTCTATAGCAATCTCCTCCAAGAGAAGCTCCTCGTGTAAAAAGGGGGGGTGCAAACCGAGCCAGACGCGCCGCCAAGAGAAACCGCTGCTGAGCTAAGCGGACCAGCAGAGGTGCACAACCCGTCTTCTGAAGGATAGCCTGATCAGTGAAGACCTCAGCCGCATGTGTCTTCACTTGGCCAAGAGTCCGACGCAGAAGGCCAACATAGCAGACAGTCAGCTTGCGCGCATCCGCACAGGTCAATCCACTCCAACTGCCACATCCATAGAGAAGCTTGGTGAACACTAAAGTCTCCAGCAAGAAAATTCTTGTGGGCTCTCGAAGAGCTTTGTTCAGAAATATGGGTCGTGCCAACTGTCTGAACGTGCTCCAAGCCTGCCCAATCCGCCTCTTGACTTCAAGCTGGAGGCCCCCAGCCGCAGCCGCAGCCACTGTGGTGCCCAAGTGCTTGGCATTGCCAAGTGCCAGCTGCACAGACCTCTCAGGGTGCCCAACGTCCACCTTGACCTAGTTGTTCGCAGAATGTGCGGGCTTCAGGACCGGCAAAGGTCACCATCACCTCTGTTTTGCCTCTGCTCATGTTAAGGGTCATGCCATACTGATGGAAGACATTGAAGACCACTGCAAAAGCTTTCCGGATCTCATCCTCCATCTCAGCATTACGGGTGGCAAGCAACGGTACCGCCAAGTCATCTGCCCACACCACCTGAACTGCCTGACATTGTAAAGCCTCACGGGCCATCTTCTGAACTGGGTTGGCGGCCATCTGCTCCTCAATCTGTTTGACGATGGGGCTCATCAAACAGTGAAACAGCGCATCTGCCAAAGGACTGCCCGGTCGAGAGCCACGAGCAGTATACTCCTTTCCCCTGGATGGTCGACCAAGTGAACCCATGGAGATCTCTCATCAGTGCCTTCAGCGCACCATCAGGAAGCACCCCATGAGTCTGGATCACCTTGGCGATGATCTCCTCTTCAAAGCCCTCCTGATCTAAGGTCTGTTGCAAAGCTCGAAGGTCAGTAGGTCCTCCAAGCCCAGCACCCAGCGCGAGCTCTCGAAGAAAGGAATGGAATGCAGAGCGCAGGTCAACGTACAGCATGGCACTGGGCATCTTTGCCGCGTAAGCGTACATATAGGCTACCAAACAGGCATTCCTGGTGTTTGAAGCCTCCACTCTGGCCAGGAGGGGAGGAAGCCGCAACCTGCTCCATCAAAGGATCTCGAAATAGAGCATGGATCCTTCTCACAATGACTCCCAGCAACATAACTCCACGAAATGGCGCCGCAGGCTGCACAACCTTCAAAAGCATGTAAAGCATCCCTCCCTTCCACTGGATGGGCTCATCCATCGTAGTCATCAGCTTCAAAACTGCATCATAGACATGTGGACCAATGGCTCCTGCTGCATAGTGGATCCAACTAGGTTCAATGCCATCAGGGCCACTGGCTTTGTCTGGCTTCGTTCTTCTCAATGAGACCTCGATGTGGGTCAAGGAGGGCAGATCGGTAAAATGCCGGACACACTGCCCCGGGCCAGGCCTAGCAAGGAGCTCCTGGTAGAGGTCCTTGAGCTCCATCGGAGTGCCCGCCTCAAGGTCACACAGGTATGGCTGCCATTGCTCCCGCATTGCCTCCTGTTGGTGGGCACTTCGAGTTTCTCGCTTCGCTTGCATCTTGGGGAGGAAGAGCTTGACCTTCTGCCACAAGTCCTTTGTACTCCCAAACTCATCAATGTCTTTCCAACTCTGCTTCACCTGCTCAAAGAAGGAGTTGGCGTCACGCCGCAACAAGGTAGTCACGCGCTTCCTGAAGGCCCGGAACTGCTTGAAGGCCTGTGCCCATCTCTCACCCAAAGTCCGTTCAAAGCCAGCCAACCAATCCCAGCTCTGTTGTGGAGAAGCACACGCCCATGAGCGGAAGCATACACATAGTACATGAATCTTCAAACCAGCTTGGAGCTGGAGTGTGCTCTTCCGCCAGGCAGCCTTCTCCAGAATGGCCGGCCGGCAAGAACAAGCCTGATCTTTGGAGGAACTCGTAGAGAAGCCCCCCATTCAGCGTCTCCTCTTCTTCTCCCAAGCTACCAATGGCGATTGAGGTGACACTGCCAACCCTGGCATTGAAGTCCCCCATGAGTATCATCTCCTTCTCACGCAGATGGGGTGGGATGGCCTGCTGGAAGTCATGCCAAAACTGAGTGATCTCAGCCTCTGAGTGGCCACTGTGGGGCACACGCAAGTTGGCAATCAGCATATCCAGCGATCCTGTCCAGAGTCTAGTCAGGATGAACTGATGGGAGCTGGCCACTACCGTCCATTGGTCTTCTTGCACTTGCTGGATCTGCCCATGGCCATCCTTAAGCTTGAAAAGCTGCAGATTAAGAGCGAGCATCACTCCTCCATGGCCTCTCTGGGCCGGGTGGCTTCGAGCCAGGTAGTGGTCATCCCGGAATGCCAAGTTCCTGAGCCGTGTCTCCTGGAGGGCCGCCAAAGCGATGTTCTTGGAAGCACATAGCTGAAGGTAGGCCCGTAGGGCAGTATAGGCCGACGTGTAGCTCTGCTTCAAAGTAAGCACATTGCATGACATGAACGTTCCAGAGAGTGTCAATTCATCTGCCCGTCCAATATGGTCCTGCCAGCTCTCTAAAGTTGCAGCCACTTCTTCGTCCGCTTCCTTCTTTGGTGTAGGAAGCACGAGGCAATGCCCTTGCCAAAACGGTCGAAGATCTCGGCGATACAAAAGCCAGAAAGATTGAACCCAAATACTTGGCAGAGTGTGCTCGGAGCGGCACCCGTCCCAGAAATGATCAGAACCAAAACAGTTCATAGCCGCATGCTTGGCCAAGATGTCCGCAGCCTCATTTCCAGGGTGCCCTACATGGGCTTTAGTGTAGTGGGGTATGATCTTGATTCCATGAGCCGCCTGCACCATCTGTAACAGGGCCAAAAACCACGCCAGCAGCAGATCCAGAATCGAAGCAGAAGTGAATGGCTGGAAAATGCATCCAGGAGCCTCCAACAGTCCTCAAGATGTCATGGACCCACTTCAATGCCATCATCTTTGTGAATACTAACAAAATAAAAGAATTTGGCATAAGATATTTAGATTTATTGATATAATTTCAATTGTGAATACGAACAACATACAGTAAATGATACCAATTTAGAACATTCACTATATGGATCTAGACCGTTCTGTCTCTCTCTATCTCTCTATCTCTTCTCTCCCCAGGTGTCCTTCTTTCGTTCTCCTTTTTCTTTTTCTCTCTTTTTCTCCTTCATCCTCCTTCCATTTCCTGAGACTGTGGCAGACTCAGAATCTTGCAACTCCTTCGGCAGAAAGCACAAGGCATCGTCGGACTTGGATCTTCTTCAACACATCTTTTCTAGAACATCAATGTCTTTGAACGGTTCGAAAGAAGGAACAAGAAATCCGACTTCGTCACCACTCGTCCTGGACGGGACGCAGATCTTGAGGCTCTGCATCTTTGCGTGCCTTTGTCTTCGATGTCTTCGACACAAGGCGAAATCAATGTTCTCAGTGCTCTCCACATCCATCACATCATCCATCATCCACACTTAGGGATTTCGTGCCTGCTTCATGGATTTCGTGCCCTTCAACGAAGGCCTCGGACACGTTAACTTTCTCGTCGTTCTCTCGTGCTGCGCCGCTCGACGGCTGCGGCCTCAAGACGCCGGTTTTGCTCCGGTCGCCACCGAACCACGATTTCACGGAGTCGATGGCCATGGAGATGGAACCTCGGTAAGGCACTTGTTACTAGCAAACATTGTTACTACTAGTAAGGCACTTGTTACTAGTAGCGTGGCACTTGTTCCTAGTAGCGTTTTAACATGGAATCAAAGAAGTCGCAAAAAGACACATATCACATCTGTCAAGTTGGAAGGTTTCTCTCGCCCCGGCTCCGACTTTTATCTGGAGAAGCCTCTGCGCCCTGACACCGACGGCTCGACAAACACGAAGGGTCGACACCCCGAAGCCGCACCTGGCCATCTCCAGCATCCTCACAAAAGCATGAGGCGATGAATCTCGAGTTGCGAAAATACAGAAATACATTTTGACTAAAAAAGCTAAAAAAAGAGGTTTTGACTGTTTCTTTCTCGAAAGGGTGCTCCTCCGAATTGGCGAACTTGACTGCCTCCATGAGATTGGAACTTTCCATCGCTTGCCCTGACGGTCGGCGGTGCGGTCAGCCGCCGTTGACGGTCACGCATCGGTCCTTCAGCTCGGACAGCAGCATCTTTGGCTGCGGCAACGTCCACCTGACGACTGACTAGCAAACATTGTTACTAGGTAGTAAGGCACTTGTTTCTAGTAGCTTCTTGTTTCTAGTAGCTTCTTGTTACTACTAGTAAGGCACCTGTTACTAGGTAGTAAGG